TAGAGAAGTCCTGGATGTTTTATGTGGAGAGTGGTATTTGACTGTGGTGGCCACATGCTGAGTTCAGTGATCTTTGACCCAAGTGTTTGTTTGTACAGCACTTTCTCCCTCCCAAAGAAAGAATGGATTTGGGGCTTTTCCTTTATTTAGATGAGGAAGGGAAAAGTGGTGTAGAATCCTTTGCTTGTAATGTTATCTCTGTTATTATGTTTTAAAAGACAGGTTCAACTCTCGAGGAACCAGAATGCTTAAACTCATGTACTGAACCTGAACAATACAGCATTTTTTCCACTTATAATGTACATACAATTATTTAATATGATAAAATAGGACTTTCTTAATTTAAATGTATTGGTTTGTATGTTAAATCATTCTATTTTTGATACCAAATATTAACTTTTGATCCAATATCAACTATTTTCAAGAAAAAAATATCATTAGCCACGTTTCCAACCAAAGATGTGAATTAAATGTATTGCAAAATTGGAATGTTACATAAAATATTAAACCCCAGTTCTTACAGAAGAACACAAAAGCATATGACTTTTTTTGATGTGCTTGCTGGGATTTACTTGGTAAATGCATTCCCATCGTAGTTTATGCACCATTTTATTCATTAGATAAAAAGTTTACTCTTTTCAGTTGTGAGCATAATGCAGAATGGAGAGAAAACATGGTGGAAGGAGATATATATTGCTCTCTTCAGACATTTATTTTTATTTAATACCACAAATTTAAAATATTTTTTTTATTATTTAGTAATAGAAGTGGTAGAATTGATATCCATCTACATTAACCAAATTTAAACCCCTATTAAAAGCTGATCCAATATTATTTGCAGTTTAGTACAGATCTGTTTTTAAATTCTTGAAGTACATCACTAACTAAAGTTGGTCTGCCATGTTGAATGTGAGCGATGCAGCAACAAGGTGCATTGTGATTGGTTAAACATAAGTTGGAAAAATCGACCTGCTAGTGAAGTGAGTGCTCTGTTTTGCTTTGAACATTCTTTAATTGATATGAAGGGCACTGAAGGTAAATTTACAGAAAAAAATAAAACAAAATGAATTTGCATTAAACTGAGCCGCTTATTGTTCTTTTGAACTTCAGACTCATTTTTTACCGCCTTTATAAAACTGGATCCTGTTTTATGTTGTTTTTCAAAGGTTCTTTACATAAATGACACTGTTGCTATTGTGACCGTACTGCTGTTTTTGTTGTCTATTGTGATGAACTGATCGATGACAAAATAATAGTTTTTTTCAGCCCAATCAGTGATCTATACATCGTAATGTTTCACACTTGCCCTGAAAAGCCAGAGTATAGTACCAGTTCAGCTCATGTTGATCAAAACAGGTTCTCAACACAGTACTAACGACAGTAGAAATGGCCTGAAATCTTATTGTACCCCAGGATAGTGTGCTGCTTTCCTAGGCATTCAGTCTTCATCCTGCCTTCATTGAAACTAATGTGCACACTCATCGATGATGGAATTTATCTTGTGTGAAAACAAATGTGTCCAAGGTTGGTGAAGAACCACAAAGTCGTTTAGTCCTTTAATGTAAAAATATTAAAACAGTGTTTAAATATAATCCAAGCAAAACAGACTCCCATGTTGACTAACAATTACATTGTGAAAAGGGAATTTTAGTTTTCTTGGTGTGCTATAAAATGTTGTAGATTCCCTGTCGTGATTAAGGGTTAGTCAGTGTTGGAGCACTAAAGTTTTAATGGCTCTTTTGTTTTAGGGCTTAAAGACTTAAACAGAGACCACACACGTAGAGAAACAAAATTATGGTTTATGGAACTTCTCTGTAAATATAATGGATTCAACTCTGTAATCTATGTCAGAACTCAAGAGTCGCTCTCAAGGATGTGAGTATATTTTGAATAATCTACCAGGTCAAAAAAGTTTCTAAAAAAGTTGGCCAAAGTGAGGATTTTCAGAATCATCTGGTTTAGTATTTGTTCTGTAAACAACATTATTTTGCCATTCTAGAACCAATAATTTTCCAATGTTTATATCCCAACTAGCCAAGGGTTCGGATAAAACCCTCACCTGTTGCATTGGCAATCACTTTTCCAAGTTTTAGCATAAAACATAGCTAGTTACCCAGGAGTTGTTTTTTTTTCAGAATTCAGCCCACAACTCTTAATGTGAGTCGCCTCACCCTCATTGTTATAGTGATAAAGTCTATCATATTTCCCAGATACAGTCTTTATTATGAGTGCTACCTGATGATTTTGTGCTGTTGTAGGGTGTAATGGCGCAAAAAGTCTTCATTTATCCCCACTGAGAATGCAGTGAACATCTTTAAATGACAGGAAGGAGGGGGGGGGGGGTGTCGTCATTTAATGTAGGGCTGTGCAATTAATTGCAATTGTAAAAAAAATATCGATTTCACATGCAATGTCTAAACCACAAAAGGCTGCACTTTTATCTGTTCGTTTATTTTATTCAGAAAACATCTTGTGCGCATATTGTGTTAGTACTGGGGGAAATGGTAGACACACAGTTTTTTTGTCCGAAAAACTTTAAGAGAGAAATCTGTTTTTTGGTTTTGATTTATGTTAGTTTTAATTTATTGTTATGACTGGAATTCAGGCTAGTTAATCTTTATTTTTTTATGTTGTCTGTTTTTAAGATATATTATTACAGTTTTCTCTATCAAGCAGTTAGTATGACTGTGTACAGTATGCTGTTAACTAAAGTTGAGGTTGTTAATCTTAATTTATTTTTGTCTGTTTTAAAGACCATTTTACTACAGTTTTGTTTTTGTTCATTGTGAAATTTTTCCATGCACTTCTTGTCCACTGAATACATTTAGAATATATGTATGTAGCTTGTTTGAAAAAGCTAAATCAGGTTCCAAAAACTCAAATAAAATAGCAATATTCGTTCACAAAAATCGCAATATAATTATTTGGTCTATACTTCACTTCTTTGGTCTATATGTTTTGACATCAACATCACGATGTGCGCATGCGCCGGAACCACGATGTGAGTGTAGAAGCCCATGGTGTATTACAGAACGGTAGCACCAGGGTAACAAAACACGAGTTTGTTGTATAGCTTGTTGCTGGGGTGACATGTACGTTCCGCATGCCTCCACAGTGATTTTGATCGGTGAGCAGCGGCACAGGAACCATTCACTACTAAAAATGCGCGATGAAAAGGTGCGCGACATTGCCAGTGTGACACCTCATAGAGAATCGGGATTTCCCACGGGTCTTGTGATTCCTGTGGGATGGGATAAACTTTTGTTGTTAATCTCGTGATCGGGATGGGATGGGAATAAAAATCAACGGGAGCGTGCAGGAGCGGGAACACCATTAATAGATTATAATTTTCTGTTTTAAGCAATCCAAACGAGATGCGCTGATTTTTTTGTAAATCTTTCAGCGCGTCAAAACACGGAAGTCTAAAGAGCACGGTTTTTCAGGGTCGGCAACAGAAGTGAACCCTTTAAAAGTGAAGCTGTCGCCGGCAACAAACAGAGAGAAACATACCTTTCGCCAGGAGCGCACTGACAGACGTGTGATTGATTTCCTGTGATCACTTTAGCAACACTTTAGCAGAGATTTCACTGTAAATATAATATTTATTCTGTATACAATAATATAACCATTGTCTTAGTAGCAGTAATAGGTTTATTAGTGTTAGACTGAACTGTTTTACCGTGTTCTGTCCGTGATTCTTCTTCCGCATCCGCGCACATGCGTCTTATTTTCGTTATTTCCTCTCAATTCTTCCGCCGTTTTTGGCTCAGTAAAGTGTTAGATTCCAGTGCCAAAACACTTGTAAATAGTGAAATAGTGAATAGTGTTTATACCATCATCGAGAGCCCTGTGAGTTTTGTGAATTTTTCAATCACAGTCATATGTAATAAAAGTTTTTATACACAGGGTTTATTGCAAACAATAATGTTTTTCAATATATTGTGTCTTTTTTGATATTATATAATATTTTTATAATATTGCTTTTAAAACTGCTCATGCTCTTGATTCCAACAACATATTGCTTCATTAATTTATTTTTATATTTTGCTAATTTTTGTATAGAAGCACAAGGGTTTCTTTTGGATAAATCTAATCTGATGTAATATATTTATATTTATAGAGATTTTTTCTGATGAAGGGGAAACCTTCTGTGGCAAGGTTGGATTCTGTCAACTACTCTACTCTATTCCACAGCTGAGAAAAAAACAAACCCGGACCTTTGTAAATAAAAAACAATTTTTGCAATAAAATATTAAGTGACCTTTTTGTCACTTGTAATGAAGCTTGCTTATTAGTGAAATTATTAATAAGTAATTATTGACTTTAGCCTGGATTGATGGCTCTCAATATCGCAATATATATCATTTGGAAAAAAATATCGCAATGTAATTTTTTTCCAATATCGTTCAGCCCTAACATGCGTCATCGTGCGTCTTTCCTTGACTGCTTTTCAATTAATTCAGATGAACGGACAATCGGAAGTAAACAACAAAAGACAGAACACAAGAAACGACTTCACTGCTTGATTTTCACTTTGTTATCTTTTACTTGATCATTTATGACGGACTTTGCAAATGATGCTCGGATTACAAACTACTCCAAGATTCAAAGAGAGGTGCCACGATACAACTGATCCAAGATCGGATTACGCCGCTTGGTGAACATGCACGCATTATCCTTTAATGTTACGCTTTAATGTGAACACAGTGGCTTAATTCGTTGAAAAATGTTTTTGTCATCTTCATTTGTTTTTAATTCAGATCAGAGTTTGATCATGTTCTCATCACATACAAACCACTCTAGAGTTTATTTGGATTTTTACTGAGGTCACTTCCTTAAGTAGGTCTCAGTCTACTTTTTTAGTCCGCTTTTGACCTGATTTGTAGCTCGGTTGCTGCTTTATCACCTGCCAAAACGAACCAAACTAAAAGGAAAAACTAACTCTAGTTAAAGGGAATCGAACAAGTCCAGTGTTCAAGAGTTCTGAATGAATGACTCAGGCCTTCTTGTGGCTCCGTTGGTAGAGTACTGCACTAACAATGCTAAGGTCGTGGGTTCAAATCCCAGGGAAAGCAAACTGACAAAAAGTGTAAGTCGCTTTGGACAAAAGTGTCTGCCAAAAGCAAAAATGCAAATGTGTTTGGTTCATGTATGAATAGTGCTCAGACTTTTCAAAAGAATGACAAAAATCAATCCTCTGTTCTGAAGGCCATGTGGTGCAGGTTTAACGTGGTACATTTTGACCGAATTCTCCTTTAAATACAGTCTCACTAGGTGACTAGGAATATCTTAAAGTGAAATGCTAATACAGTGTTTGGTGTCTTTGCTATTTGAAGCACATGTGAAATTAGTGGCCTGTGATTCATTAACTATGAGCTATTTTAGCACTAGTCTGGTGTCTGGTTCTGTAGTAATAGCTATTTGTGGTAAGCTAAGGAAGTTCTGTTCTTTGAGAATCCAATGACACAGTTCGAGACTATGGGATGAGACACAAAATTCACCATTGATCACTCAATGCAATACGTATTAGCTGTTGGAAGTAAACTTGGGGTGTTTAACATTTCCTTCTTTTTTTTCAAGTTTTGTGTGCCTTGCCTCATTTTGTTTGATTATGTGTCTTGTATGATGGATTGTGTGTTTGCTGTGCAAAGCAAGCTTGCTAGTGCAGTGCTATGAAAAGAGCCCAGTGCTTGTTAGTTGTTGCCATGGCCACCATCACGATCCCAAGCCAGGGTCATATAATAATTGGCCAGAGACAGGTTGCTTATGATTTGTGAAGATGGTTTCATTGATAAGCTTCGTCTTCTGATATCTAAACTCTTCACTAAAGCTAGCCAGCTTGTTTATTCTAGATGTCCTCTGTGTTACTCTCATTTAACCAGCGTCCTGTTCTCAACTAGTACACAACTGAGCAGTATGCCTCAGGACTGTCCATTTGTCATGTGTATGTTACTTGGCAAGCCCCTAACTGTTACCAGGAGGGTGTTTCAAAAGTCATTCCCAGTTCACTCTTGCTCCTGGACTAAGTTCTGAAGGCCCACAAAATGCCAAGCAGGAGAAAATGGAAACCAGTGGTCTTCTTATACTAACATTTAAGAGAAAAATATTGATGTTTTTCTTGTGCTTGGACCAGTAAGTACAGACATGGTCTGAGGAAGAGTCCAGGATATGTTTAAATGTGCAAGACCCCACAGAAAAGATTTTGCCTCATGTGGGAGCCATATGGTAGAACAAAATGTGAAGTTCACTTGAATTTTTTAGAGTTTTTTTTTTTAAGTACCATGGTATTATTTAAAGTACATTCTGTGGTAAAGTATGTTTCATTCGTTTAATGTGATTCTCTAAATCACACAAGTTCCAAAAACAAGTTGCAGGTGAATGGCGATTATTATTATTCTTTTTTTACACCTTTTATTAAGACTTTGTATTATTTTAACATCTTTTGCTGTTTGCATAAATATTATTCTGAATATTTCAGTGGCAGCCTGGTGTTTTTGGCTTTCTGTAGGGAGATTTTTAATGCTGTTCAGTACCACAGGTATGTCTAAAGTCAGTCTTGGTGGGCTGTGGCGCTGCACAGTTTAGGTTCAACTTTTATAAGCCTCACCTGACCACACTAACTAAGCTACTCTGACAAGCTGAAAAGTGTTCACGATGAGCTAAGAGCACATTAGATATAGTACACAGTGGGTAGGAATAATGGTAGATAGCACCAATCTTTCCCCTCTCTTTCTCTCTGTCTATGAACTTTGTGTTAGCGATAAACCATCAACATGCTCAAATATTTTCTGGAAGCAGCAAAGTAAAGTGACAAATTGAATCCCAAAAAGAGATGAAAGACTCAAGGAAATTAATTTCTTGTCAATCTAGGTAAGTGCATAATGTTTACTAGAACGTTTATGAAGCTGCAATTCAGTGACTCACCACTTGAGGCTGGTGTCAAGAGATTTCCACTGTCAATTACAATTCAGCTTCATTGCAGCTTTGCAGCTTCATAAATAAAACCAGTTGAAAGCCTAATATAAGAAGGTTTTTTTTTATTCATTTCAATATTTGTCACCTTCATGTTGACTTGTGTTTAAGCTTCCACCACTCAGCCATCTTTGATACTCCCAGATTCTGTCAACTCATAGAATTCCCTGTTGAAACATTTAAAAATATTCTTTGGCTTTATGGTGTTTTATTAGGGGCCAAGCCACCGAAGGTGCGATGGCACCTATTGTATTTGTTGGCGTTCTTATTATTATTATTATTATTATTATTATTCCGCCATTGAAGTCAATGGCAGCCCCATGAACCGATTACGGGAAAGTTATGAAATTTGGCCAAAGGATTCAAATGGTCATCATAAGAAATCTGACCAAATCTGGACCCTCTAACTCAAACTCTATAGCGCCACCACTAGTCCAAAGTTTCACATATGTAAATGCCAATAACTCAAGAATTCTATGGTGTAAAAACAAAATTCTTTTTGCCACTGATTCCATGGCTCATGATGATTCTAATGATCTCAATGATCTCATGTTCCAATTATCCAATTAGCCGCCATTTTGAATAATTAAAATTGCAACTTTTTCAAACTCCTCCTAGACCGTTCATCCAGTTCCCATAAAACTCAGGCAGTATCATCTACAGACCCTATTGAGCAAAACTTATCAAAAGAAATTTATTTCGTCTTATGGTTTTAGGGAAATTAACGAATAAATAAAATATAAAACTAGCAAAAGTGGCCATGTGGCTATATCTCTTAAACCATTCGGTGGATTGAGACCAAATTTGCTGTGTGTTATAAGAGTCAGGTCCTGAGGTTGCCTGTTGAGTTTCAACTCAGTGCCCCCTAGTGGTCAGGAGATACAAAAAATGTCTTTTTTGGCTAATAACTTCATATCACTTTGTCCAAAATTCATAAATTTGGTCTTAAAGTGTTCAGGGCATCATAACGAGTCGGTACATGTGCATTTTTACTAGGTCAGCCATTTTTGAAGTCAGCCATTTTGTTTTTTGTCAAAAATTAACGTTTTGTCCAAATGCCTTATGAACACCTTGCAGGAAAATTATAAAATTTGACACGCTGATACAGTTGGCTATTATAAGTACTATGACCCAATCTAGAGTTTCTAGGTCATACTCTATAGCGCCACCACTAGTCCAAAGTTTCACAAACGTTAATGCAAATAACTCATGAAATGTGTGGTCTAAGGACAAAATTCTTTTTGCAACTGATTCCATGGTCAACATCAATTTTAACGAACACCAATGATGTCTTGTTCCAATTATCCAATTAGCCGCCATTTTGAATAAACAAAACTGCAACTTTTTCTAACTCCTTCTAGACAGTTCATCCAATTCCCATGAAAGTCATGCAGTTTCATCTACAGACCCAATTGAGCAAAAGTTATCAAAAGAAATTTATTTGGTCTAATGGTTTTAGAGAAATTAATGAATAAACATTGTGAAACTAGTAAAAAGGTCAATTGGATGTCTCTCTCAAACCGTTCAGTTAAATAAGACTAAATTTGGTGGGTGTTGTAAGAGCCACGTGTTAAGGTTACTTGTGGAGTTTGAATTCGGTGCCCCCTAGAGGACAGGAGATATGAAAAATGTTTTTTTTTTTTAATCCTAAAATTTAATTTTATATTTTTAAAGCATCGTGCTGAGTCAGTTTCTTTGAACGTTTACTATGTTAGTTAATTAGATGTCAGCCATATAGTTTTTTTGCCCAATTTTTCTTTGCTCACATGTACATCAGCTCTCTCGACGAAACTTAAAATACCTTTTTTGTTTCTTTTCAGCCTTTGTTCATCTTTTTCCCCTTCTTCATTCTGATGGCCGCTTGGCCCCGTATCACTGCTTGCAGTTATATTTTTTTATTGTTCTTGAAATGTATTACCAAGTGAATTAACACGCAATCAAATATTTTCATTGTATGCTACTTTTATCGTTGACCACAATAATGAAAACAGAATGTAGTGCTTGTAAAATGATAATGCTAAGATAACTGTGGATGGAATGTGTGTCTGTGTACTTTTATGAGCTCTTGAAACGTGACTGTGTGGTTATACACAGAACCAGCTCGGTGCATAGTCTCAGAGTCGGCTGTTTTTAGCTGTGTGTTCGATGAAAATGCGACGTTTCCTCTCAACTCCTGCTGTAGACGTACTAGGATCATAGGTGTCAGCCAGATAGACACCACAAATGTATTCTTGTCCTGAATGCCCTAAAATTTTCCATTCTCATTTTTCCATCCCTTTTGCTTGACTCATGTGTTTCTAAAATTTGGTTCTGTAGGGTTGTGCCACTATTAGATGTCCTCAGCTGTCATTCAGTAAATGCCAACTGGCTCTTATAATAGAATCTGCTTCCTATTTAAAAAAGAACAGTACAGTCTGGGGTCACATATTGGTCAGCAGTGAAGATTTTTATGGGTTTTATAAGTATTTGGTGAGAAACAAAGGTAACTAGTGGCGGCAACTGGTGCAGTTTCGTTTGCTTAAAATGGAAAACAAATAAGCGTGATTACCATCAAACACACAAAGAATGTCACATTTATTGTTTTAGTATTTAAATTATTGGCTTTGCCACATTCAGTTTTCTACACCTTCTTTTCATCCTTCACATTGACGTATCTCGGGATAATCCTGTCCAAGCTCCTTTACATCAAGTTTCTCCTGATTTCACAAATGTTGCTATTTAAGGAACTTCACTTAACTGTTGATGTCTTTGCGGCACTGTGGTGCAGTAATAAGCACTGTGGCTTTCCAGTTAGAAGGTTGCCAGTTCAAGGCTTGCCGGTGAGTTTGCATGTTCGCCCTGTCCTTGCGTGGGTTTCCTCCAGATACTCTGGCTTCCCCCACAATCCCAAAAACATGCGGTTAGGTTTATTGAATAATCTAAATTAGGTGTGAATGTGTGAGTGTCACCTGTCCAGGGTGTTTTCATGCCTCTTGTGTTGGAAAACTAATGTTAGTGCCTCTTTCTCAATAAGGAAGGAACCAGAGGAAGGGACGAGGGAATACTATATTAGGAAATAAACAAAATTGGCATTGGACTTGGCATGTTAATTCAGGCAAATATG